TTTCATGCCTGCGCACCGCCTGCAACTTTACAAGGCGCAGGTTCAGCCGCACATGGAATACTGTTCCCATCTCTGGGCTGGGGCTCCCCAGTACCAGCTCCTTCCACTTGACCGCATCCAGCGCAGAGCGGCCCGAATCATCAACGACCGAGTGCCTTCCGATCGGCTCGATTCACTGGCGCTGGGAAGAGATGTTGCATCTCTTTGCATTTTCTTTCGCATATACCATGGGGAGTGCTCTGAGGAATTGTTCGGATTAATCCCAGCCACCAAATTTCGTGAATGCACTACGCCGCAGACGTACCGATACCATCCACACCATCTGGATGCTTGGCGGTCCACCACTGTACGTTTCAAAAGGAGTTTTCTTCCGCGTACGACCTCTCTGTGGAAAGACCGGGTTGAGATAGACCTGGGGATTGAGAGCTCCTTTCAAAGGGCCGGCAAGCACCTGCAATTCCCCTGTGTTGTGGTTGATCATGGGCGGCGGTAGTCACTTAACATCAGGTGAGCCGCATGCTCGTCTGGCCCCTCTTCTATAAAAAAAATTGTATAAATAAATTTCGCCAAGGGAATCAACCGAAATCCTGAATCTCAGGATTCACCCACTGCTGTGTGGCTGAGACTAGCTAGTAGATCCAGACAGTAGTGTGCTCCTTGTCAAGGAAAAGGATTCCTTATACTTCTACAGTATATGTTCATTGTTGTTGCATAAAGCCGGCTTTTGTCTATAGGATATAATACATATTGGGTCCTTACATATGAAATTAGCGTTTTGTCGTACTGACTACTTTGATTTGAAATATCTCCTCTTTGGAGAATTCCAAATTCAAATTTATAAATTCATTTATATGGTACATTTGAGTTTTGAAAACAGTCATTCATTTTTTTTCCTCATTATTTTTTCTTTGGCGTCGCTTATCAACGCATAATTGAAAACATGAAATATCGGTATATTTACGAATACGAGTTCTACCGTGGCACTAGTGCTTCAGAAACAGCTCGAAGGGTTAAGGATGTGTACGGTGCTGGTGTCGCAAAAGAAATCACGGTACGGTTTTGGTTTCAACGTTTTCGTTCTGGAAATTCTGACCTTCAGAACCAACCCCGTGGACGGCCGGAGGCCAAAGTGTAAAATGAAGAATTAAAGGCTATTGTTGAAGCGGATTCATCACAAAAACCTTCAGAGATAGCTGCAGGCTTCGCGGCAAGTGATAAAACTGTATTAATCCACTTGAAGCAAAAGCAAATCGGGAAAGTAAAAAAACTTGAATGATGGGTACCTCATGAATCGAGTGAATCAAACTTGCAAACACGCGTCGACTGCTGTGTTACTTTGCTCATCCGACACAAAAATGAAGGGATTTCAAACATTGTCTTATATATCACTAGCGTATTTCAAATCGAATCATTACTTGTGATGAAAAGTGGATACTGTACGATAATAGGAAGCGCTCGTCGCAATGGCTGAACCCTGGAGGCCCAGCCAAATCCTGCCCTAAACGAAAATTGATACAGAAAAAGTTACTTGTGAGTGTTTGGTGGACTAGCGCCGGTGTCATTCACTACAGTTTTCTAAAATCTGGCCAAACGATTACGGCATATATCTATTGTCAGCAACTGTAAACCATGAAGAATGAACTAGCTGCTAAACAACCAAGAATAGTCATCGCTCTAGGCCACCGCTGCTTCACGACAACGCAAGACCACACATTGCACAACAAACAACCACTAGGTTAGATGAGCTACAATTGGAATGTCTGCGATATCCACCGTACTCCCGGACCTTGCTCCACCAGATTACCATTTTTTCTGGAATTTGGACAACTTACTAGGAAAAAAATTCAACTCCGATGCGGCAGTCCAAAACGCTTTCAAAGAGTTTATTGATTCCCGCCCCCATGATTTTTTTAGTAAAGGGATCAATGAACTAACTATGAGATGGCAAAAGTGCATAGATAACAACGGTGCATACTTGGATTATTTAAATATAATTCACAAAAAAATTGACTTTATATTCCTCTCGTACAAAACGCCAATTTCGTATGTAAGGACCTATTATTATATCCCGAGATATGAAATATATCCCGCGATTACCCTTCACACTGTGAGATATATCTTTTAACCAGTGTGCGTTCCTCATTGGATCCGCACGCGTCATTCACAAACAAAATTGTCTTTCAAAACAAAAAATGGATATTGTTATGCTGGATAGCCTCGACAGTTCAGCAGAGGAAGATGATGCGGATTTTGATTTTCGTGTTTTACTTTGAAGTTAAAACAGAGAGCATCGATACTGCATATCAAAGCATAGCAATATAAGCAAGTTTCGAGAGGTATATGGTGAATTTAGACTTCTTAATGAATTGGATAAAGAAAAGTTTTTTAATTATTATCGGTCATAGGTAGTCATAGATGAAGTTCGAGAATTTAATTTTAGCTATAAATTAAATTCATCGAACTTCATGCTATGACTGAAAATGATATTATGAAGCAAGAAACACGTTTACGTAAAAGTATTTCTTCCAGAGAAAGACTAGTGATGACTTTAAGGTTAGTTTTAAAATAATACTATTTATTTGATTCATTAATTTTCTTACAATTCGAAATACCCAGTCTTTAATTAATAGCGTAATAACAATCACTGAAGTCAGTACCTATTTTAATTAATTCATGTCTTCTTAGGAAGAATATCACTTAAATAAGACCTTCCATTGATGATGATCTCATTTGTGTCTAATAGTTAGGGGTGATGAAGTCACATGAAAAGTATGTTGTGGCTGAGTGCAGTGGCGAAGCTTCTATACAAGCCCAAAAGCCCGGCTTGTCTCATTAAGATGAATCAATCAATTATATTAAGTAATAAAATAACTCTTAAACTGTTTCAAACTCTTTCAAATTTCCCGCGCACTCTGTGCGACCTCGTAGCCTTACGAATACTGCTGTCATAGATATAAGGTGAGTTGAATTGAGCGATTGGTTTTCTCCCTCGCACGCGTGGGCTTTTTACCGGGCTTTCGAGAAGGCGATCGCTCCCTTTCTAACCTGTGGCAAAATGTTCTATAATGAAATATAACTACGATTGTATAAATAGCAATTAGTATGGAGCTAAAAGCCCGGCTTTTTAGTGACCATTAATTTTTTCCTCAGAGCGGGACGCCTTTAAAATTATTATAGTTCTAACACTTTTGACTGCCTTCTTGGTCTAATGGCAGTAAACGCAATTGCTGATCATGTGGTCCCAAGTTCGAAACCTGAGTCGGTTCAAGAATCATTTATTGGGTTCTTTCACAAAATTCTCAGTAGCAGTAGTATTACACTTATTGTATATGTTAGTATTATACTTACGCCATTATTAAAAATCAATCTGGAACCCTTTAATATAGTTTTATAAATAAAACACATAGTTGTTTGAGTCTTTTAATGATCAAAAGTGAATTCTAAACATCAAATAAATACTAATTGGAAATATCTTATGTTATTTGATAATTTATTGCAGATTAATTAAAAATTGTCACTTCGTAACTTTAAATTCAAAAGTGTAGCTTTTCAGAATAATCACGTAACTAGACAAGCTATGCAAACCTGGTACGCGCGGTGTCATAATGATGGCACGGGTGACAGGGTTAGCATGATTGGCACATGATTTGGAAGAGAATTACGGCTGCCTGCAGACCTGATCACCGGGATACCACCTGATACCCCACGCAGTATAACCGATTATGCAAATGACTTGCGGAACAAAATGAATGACATTTATGAGCACGTCAGACAATCGGGCCAGCAAATGTCTGAGAAAATGAAAACCCGGTACGACCGCAAAATGAACAATAAAGGGTTCGACGACGGTTCACTAGTGTGGTTGCACAATCCAGTCCGCAGCAAAGGGAAATCTCCTAAGCTTCAAGCTAAATGGGACGGCCCGTATCGGATTGTGACCAGGATCAACGATGTAACCTACCGGATACAGAAAGGCGCAAGAGGGACTCCTAAGATCGTCCATGTGGATCGCCTGGCGCGTTATTATGGGGCCGATAATGCTCGGGACGAGCATGTCTTAGGAGGGGGCAGTGTTACGCGCCTAAGTTGACGGCACTAGCGACATCTAGTGTCAGAGACGAGAGCGAGGGGAGCTTTCCAGAAAATGACATCACTAATCTTTTAACCGACAGCGCCATCTAATCTCGAACCGAAGAACTAAACTTCTAGAAGTTGAAACTCGAACTCTCGGTACCTTGCGCGTGTTTACTTGAATATTCTGGATATTTCGATGCTAATTTATATAAATAGGCGCTGCAAGATGCGATCGGTGAAGTACTGAAGTTGGCGAAACAAGCGAAGCTTCGGAGTGGAATAAAGTGAATCAGTGTGATTAATTATTAGTTTTTTTAACTTTAATTAGTGTAAAGTGAATTAAAGTGTTAATTTAGGTAATTCTATCGGCAATTTTTATTGTCACGAACCTCAAGCTCGTAACACTACTATGATACTACTATGTGAGATATACTACTATGATACTACGCATCGATCAACTGACGTAACAGTTGTTTTTAGTTCGAAAGCGTCCCTGTAGGTGTGCTATTTTGATGTATTGAGATAGGCTACTCTCCACAGAAATGAATAAATTTTTATGTACGATCACAGATGGCGTTAAGTATTAGAAATAACATAAAAATGTTAGTGTTCCAAATTTGTCACACTATGCGGGAAAGGGTTAATTTATATCTCGCAATGTAATATAAATTATGTTATATCCCATAGTGGAAAGTAAGCTTAAGTGTGGCATTCATGTATACATTGTATCTCAGAGAGCTAGAACCCAGAGCCGAGCCGTAAAACCAGTTAAATAAAAAAAATTCTATTCTGTGTCTGTGATTATTTGTAATAACCTATGGTAATAACTTTTTATTTACAAGATAATTAAAAATGTAAAGTATAACTTTAACAATACCTCATTTATTTGTAAAGATAAGAATATATTATAAATTGAATCGTATAATATGTCTTTATATTCTGTTCTAACTGATTCTAATGTGTTTACATATGAATATTTTCAACAAGAAGACGTATGTAGGCTATGCTGGAACAGAAATGCCGAAAGGGTAATTATCTCAAGAAATATTGAAAAAAGTTGTAACATTAAAAACGACTTGCTGGATAAAGTACGTTATTGCTTAAATATTGATATAAGTTTATCAGATACAGACTACCCCAACAAAGCATGTGAAAATTGTTTCGGTCAGTTGGAAAAATTTCACGATTTTAAATTTTTTTGTAACGAAAATGACAAAAAGTTACGTGAGATAATACTAAATAAAATAGATGATAAGTCTGTCCACGCAACTCAAAATTCTTGCATTAAAGTGGAGAAAAATGAATCGGCTTGTAATTATCAAACGTCGGAATATAACGATTCGTACCTAGATCATTTACATAATTTAGATGTAACTAGTGAATCAGAAACATTACAAAAACATGAAAAAAACAGAAAAAGTAGAATAAAGTCTAAATACAAACCGATTCGGACACCAACATATTGCAATATATGTAGAATAGACTTAGATAATATTGATAATTTCTCTAATCACAATTCATTATGTCATGGAATTGAGGATGGGGGACTTTATAAGTGTTTTGGCTGCGAAAAGAGGTTCAAAAGCAGAAAAACACGATTGGGTCATGAGATTAACTTTTGTAAAGGTTTAAAGGATGGATACCAATGTAGTATTTGTGATAGATATCTTCCAAAACGAAGAGTGTATGAAAATCATATGAGAAACCACAGAGATAATGTACCAGTGGAATTGCCAGATGACATTTTTAAATGTTTGAAGTGCTATAAGTTGTTCAATACTAAAACAAATTTAAAAAAGCATATGGCTGTGCATGATGGTGAAAAGAAAAATTTTGTCTGCGAGGTATTTTTTGGGTGTCAAACACCATTACTATTATTGATGTTATAATTAGGGTTACAAATTATAAATCAGTAAGCTGATGTGACAAGCAGGTAAAGTAACTGAGAACTGATTGATAAAAAATAATAAAATAAAGATTCTTAACCATCAGCCTTATATTGGTAAGCGAAGTGTAGTGTTCTTCCCCACTAGATGCGGTGAAGATCTGGTGTGCAGAAAGTTGATGGATGCAGGTGGCTCAGGATTGTGTTTTGTGCCATTCTTTAGGGGAAGTTAACTAGATAGATATTATGCAACATTGTTATTAATTTTGTTTTTAGCCTTTTGGGAATATTTGAGTTGGTTGCTCTTCTGTTAGTTCAAGTAGTGGTGACATAGAAGTATGAAGAACATAATTAGAAGATGTAAATATTACATAGTAGAGTTATGAGATGGTTATAAAGTGCAATACATTCGGCAAAACTTTCGGTTGTGAACAAAATGGGCCAAAGTTTTAACCGGGATGGTTTCTAGCGTGAAAGGTGTTGATGAGCATGAGTGAATGGGGGAATTTTCTCAGTAGACTTAGAGATTATTTAAATTACTTTTGTATTTATTTTACAGTTACATTTATATTGTTAGTTTAAGCATATCTTTAACTGAATTTCTTAGGATTTTTAAGTCTAGCTTTAGCCAAAGACTGTAGCCGATTAATTGGCTTCGGTTTTAGCTTTGGCCAGAAATCGACCTTTTGTTGTACACTTTATATTATAGAACAACAACTACCTACTTCCTAACAATTACCCTGCTTATAATTCAGTGACCTGGTGCTAAAAGGGCCAAAGTATGTTTTTATTAAATAGTACAGTACTGTACAGTAGCACATATTTTATTTTATTAGGCAGTATGGAAGTACACATTACATTGGCCTTTTTTTACATGGTATCTTTTGAAAGACTATCAATTTACATATGCCCTTTTAGTAAAAACAAATTTCATACTTTTTCAATAATATGGCTTTAAAATCTCATTTCTTAAAAAACGTACCTTGGCCTTTTAGCACCCCACCACACCACATCACAGAATTATTTTTTGTTTAGTGTTACAAATAAAGTATTAATCATTTATTCATTAATTCATTACAACCATTCATTTTCTTGGAAGGTGGGTTAGCTGCCTCTGTTAGTGTTGAGTAGTAAATGATTTAAAAATGAGTGTATGAGTAGCTTTTTTTTTTGTACTGAGCCAGTTACAATGTTCCACTTCAAATGAGGCAAGATGTCTTAAAGTTTGGTGGTACTTTGTAAGTAACCTGTGATGATGTATTGCCCTGTATTTGTATTGTCCTACCTTAAAATGTGTGGTTGACATAAGAATTGTCAGAGAGTAATAAGAAGCGATTGATAATGGACTAGATACTATTTTATGGACATTTTTGCTTATTACCTTCATTGTCATATTTTTGTAAAGGTGACTTGTTTGTAAAAACATTATTTGAGTAATATGAAATGAAACATAAGTACATCTTGGTGATGTAAATGTCCATTCAATTAAGACATATTCGACATGCCTCATTCTCTTTTACTCCTTCTATAGTTATTGTTGCAACACGTGTATAGAAATTAGACAAGAAGCGACTTTAGCTGCCATCAGACTCAAGACCCTAAATCTTTGGAGTAAGAATAGTGTCCCTCATACAGGCATAATTGATAGAATTCACTCAGAAATTCCTATCCTACAAACCAAATACGATAGGATTCCTAAATAATTTGTTTTCGATAAGAAATACAAGATACAATTAAATGAAAACAGCCAGCCGGAAGGATTAAGCCCAAAAGAGCTTAGAATTTTCACCAATGGTTCTAAAACAAATGAAGGTATGCAAACCGCTGGGTACCTATAACACGGTCTTTCAGGCGGAATGTATGGGTATCATTCAAGCGGCCATAGCATTGAATGCTAGGAAGGTTAATGACTTCCCCATCAAAATACTGACCGACAGTAGGGCGGTACTACAAGCTCTGAGTTGCAATGGGGTGAACTCGGGACTAATATATGAATGCCGTCAACGATTAAATGAGGTATGTAAAAACAACAATGTGACTCTGCAATGGATAAAGGGACACAGTGGATCCAGAGGCAATGATGCAGCGACGAACTGGCCAGAAGAGGATCGGCTCTGGCCACTATAGGGCTGGAACCAATCATACCAATCCCCTTTGGTAACGTTCGTTCAATGGTACGTAGACACTTCACTAATCAACACGCTCAGCTTTGGAAAAATCTAGTAGACTGTAGACAAGCTAGGGAGGCCCTACCTGTAATAAACAGTTGCTTAACCAAAGTTCTAATGAGACTGAACAAGCCGCAGATCAGGATAGTAACTAGTGCTATCACAGGACACGGCACCTTTAACAAACATTTATTTACTATAGGTGTTACAGATAGTCCCCTGTGCAGGGCATGTATGGGGGATGAAGAAACGGCGGCCCACGTGCTACTGAAATGTCCGGAGGTCGCTACGTACAGGGCTAAACATCTCGGCACGCCGGGATCACTCCCCGAAGTTGCATGCAACATCAAGGGACTGTTGAGCTTCTTCGGGGAGATCTCATGGCTCGAATAATCACATTATTCCTGCCCACACGCAAAATACGCGCATAGACGTGGAGTTGCGGAAAACAGCCCGTCGCAAACTAAACTAAACTAAAGTATAGAAATTATTCTCTGGGGCATCTCAAAAACATGTATATTAAATTTTTGGAAATAAAAGTATTTATTATTATTATAATATTTTGGTGTTTATAAAGTATTTTCATCTGGTTGGGCTGAATAAATATATAAGAGAAAATGATACATAAGTATAAATTATATTAAATATACTAAAATAAATAAATAAAACCCCTACCAGATGGAAGTCCTTGGAATTATTATTATTATTGTTTACATGTAACAAGTAAAGAGTAATGCAACATAAAATTTTTAATAGTACAAGTCGATATGTTGAGCCGCTTACATTGCTTCATTATGTATGGGACAAATGTAATACCTTACATACGTCCTACTCAACACTAACAACAGTTCATTTTTATTTTTGAGTTGTTATCAGGAACATGCTACTACTTCTGTTTCATTTCTCCCTGTGGCTTCTTACAACATCCAAGTGATATTATGGAGTAGGTGATTCTCTTACGCTGCCACTAATGTTTAAACTACCTACTACTATGTTATAACCAATGGTGATTAATAAAGCACATAGCGCCATATTATAGCGCGCTATCTTTTCATAACGCATAGCACGTGCTACGTAAGTAGTCACCATAGCACTATGGCGCTTTGGTGCTATTAATATCAAGCGGCAATTAGTTCTAACAGCAGCGCTGTTGGGAGTGTATGTGTGACGCAAATTTGCTATAGTAGTACGCGAACTAATTTAGTGTTAAACGTTATTTAGTTAGTGTATACTTTATATTCATAAGTGATTGAAAGACACAGTCATCTGCTACAAAAGTAGCCAAACTCATGTTTTTGAAATGTAAATAAAATATAGAACAAAATTTTATATAGTTGTGTGTGTAAATAGTGGATTTTTGTTTATACAATCAATACATTTTTAAGTACTCTTTGATTTATAATTTACATTAAGGTTAAAATAACATTTACGTCTTGTAAGCCTGAAAAGTATAAGAGTGTGTTTATTGCTTTTGCCCTTGCCCTTCATATATAGCCTGCGGTCTATCCAACGAACTACGTGATGTAATGTAACATGTTACGAAATTTAGCGTGCAGCAAAACTTTACTCGCCTGTCAGCCTCACACACGCTTTCTTATAAATAGCGCGCTAGAAATATATAGTTTATAGTCTGTAGCGTGCTATTGATTTATAGTCGTTTTGAACAACTTTAGCTATAACACACAGCCTAAAATAACAATAATTAGTTAAAAAGTACTTACTTAAGTGACCATTTTGTATACATGAAACGGAAAGCGGAGTAGTGCTCTATTGTCACCAAATTATAAAATAGCGATCAACTCAACTTACTTCTACCAGGTTTATGTTGCACTTTTATAATAAAAAGTACACTATTAGCAAGAAGACATTTCAATTAATACTGTTATAAGATTTTTGTATTTCGATTATCTTTAGATCACTTAATAACAATTTTTATTGATATTTACAGAGTTGCGGTCGAGTTTTCACTAGACAAGACTACCTACATAAACACAAACTGACACACACAGGAGTTAAACAGCATGTCTGTCCACATTGCGGCTTCCGTACAACGCAGAGATCTTCACTTACTGTACATATCAGGTACAATGCAGTATGCAGTTCATTTAATATTTTTATTTGAAAACCTGTCAGTCTAGGACTGCATGAAGCGAAAACTTCTTAGCTTCACAAACTTGTAAACATTGTTTTTGGATAGTTAAGAATTATTCGTTAGGAAGTATTTATAGCTATATTATGGTTGTAGCACAAATGGGTCGGCTTAACCGGTGAAGGACCACGCTCTCACAGAATACCAGCATAAAATAGCAGCGTAATACTGCTGTGTTTCGTTTGGTGAGTGTAGAGATCCAGAGACCCTTATTTACTGGAAACGAGGCATTCCATCTGAGGCCTCAGGGGTGACAATGCATCTGCGTTTTGATTCTTAATCGAAGATAAATGTATATGTCTATGGGCCACAGCATCCACTTACTATCAGGTGGACTGTGTGCTCGTTTGTCACCCTTAACCTATATAAAAAAAACTAATTATTTTTATCAACATATTAATATAGTAGTAGAATTTTATTTATTGTGATGTTTTACATGAAAATTATGATTATTATCTATAAAATACAAACAAATTAATAATACATATCAATTTAATAAAATTTAATCAATTGGATTTTCAAAATTACTTTTATCAATTTTTTGTATCTGACCATGACGGTCACGCGAGTGCAGTGTTTTTCCCCATCCCAAAAGTGGCTCATGTGAATAAAGAAGCTTTCACTTCAAAAAATAAAGCGGAAATAGTTGTGCTGGAAGTGGTTCATGTCCGTGAAGTTGTGGACCATTCGGTCCCATTGGTGGAACAAAAGTTTTAATTTCTTATTCTGTACTTCATCATCATCAGTAACCTGAAAGTCCTTCTTTTCCATCAATTGTCGGTTCTTCAAGATATATGGTTAACTATATAGCAATTAGCAATATTTATTCTGCAATTAATTACTAAATAATTAGGTTACTATTGCTTACTTACTTACTTACTGTTCGCGAAGGCCTAGCAACGTTAAGAAACAAAGTTATAAAGAATATTGTTTTTTGTATTAATAGTGAAATTACCGATAAAACTGGCTAAAAACGTGTATGAATATAGTTGTTTAGCATGTTTATAACTCTTAGTATATTTGTATAGAATGTCGTTTTGATAACAAGTAATGTAAACAACTTTTATTATATTAAGAAAAAACGACCAATCACAGCGCGTCTTATCGTAGAACTCTAGAAGTTTTTTAATTAACTGCGTAATAGTTCATACTAAAAATAATGAAAATAATTTTATGTTCTAAAAGAGTTATAAATATGACATTGAATTAGCATATGGCTTATAGATTAAAGAAGTGTAGGAATATTTTGTATAATTAAACGCATTTATTTATTTATTTATATGGATCTCCAACAGTTGTACATATTTTACTTCTCACATGCTTTTCTCCAATTATAGGAGAACACATCATTCTAGCAGTTTATAATGCCTTTGATAGTTATATAAAAATTAAAGAATTAATGTACCTAAATATTATGAAAATTTGGGACATTTCGTTTAATAACTTTTTACAATGTTAATGTTTTGAGGAACCTTTATTATATACTAATAAAGTACCAGACTACCGATTTAATGATGTATAGCATGTTAGTGTAGCAATTAGTTTTGTATAGAAAATATTGCAATTTATGCCATTTGTATAGTGAAAAGTTTATGCAATAAAGAGGCAAAACGGAAAATGGCAAGCGGCTCACTGTAAAGTATTGCTAAAGTCTACCTTAGGGGCTCGGGACCCAGCACCAGTAGTAGTGTGAAGAACTACCAGTGACAAGTGAAGTGAAGTGAGTGGTATCCGGTGGTAGCTGAAGTGACTAGTAGCAGTAGATAGTGAATAGTGAAAGTGTTAGCTAGCCGAAAAAGGTCGTAACTGATATTCGCAGTTACACATAGTGAAAGTGTTAGCTAGCCGAAAAAGGTCGTAACTGATATTCGCAGTTACTTATAGTGAAAGTGTTAGCTAGCCGAGAAAGGTCGTAACTGATATTCGCAGTTACACATAGTGAAAGTGTTAGCTAGCGGAAAAAGGTCGTAACTGATATTCGCAGTTGCATATATTGAAAGTGGTAACTGATATCCGCAGTTACACAAGTGATAAAATCAGCTAGTTTAATTGATAATAGCTGCTAGTCAGTATTGTTAGAAAACCAGCTACTACCAATAGATATTTGATACCACCGTACAATTTGAAGAAATCTTTTGAAGTATACAGTGACCAACCAATAGTGAACAACCGTAGTTCAACCGTGGTCAATAGTTATAAAATTTCGCGACTAATTAATCAGTCGAACCGCTGGCCACTACCTTGCTATTTGTATTTATTAATCGTGCATTTTGATTTGAACCTCAGTCCACAATATTTCAGCGGTAACCACAAAGACGGCAGTGAAAGTACCCACCGGAACCTATAGGTGTAGGACGTGAGCGACTCGCGAAGTATCTTCGACAACATTTACTCCGGAGAGTTTCGCCCGTCCGGCACACTTACTATTGACCTTTCTTTGTTAATAGCCTATGAAAAGCCTACAAGTGTACAAATGCCGTGTATAGGTTGGCTATTGATATCCGGTACTTTTTTGATAATGTTTTTAGTGTCTAGGAGGCATATTAGGGTTACGCTTGAACCTATTACACTGTTTTTAGATGTCGGCAATGCGTTTTGAATTATTTACGATAGAAACAAATTTCACTAAAAATTGTGTAATAACGAAACGCAAATATGTCAATTTGTTCTCATATTATGAAGTAGACTAGATCTGGTACTTGATTTTTTAATTTTGTTTTCAATTTAGGAGGATTGTCAGGGTTAAGCTCGAACCATTTACACTGTTTTTGGATTTCGGAAATATATTTTGAATTAATTACAATAAAAATAAATTTCACTTAAAATTCCATATAACGAAACGTAAATAAGTCAATTTGTTTTTTTAACACAGATACACTCATAAAAAAGTTTATCTCTCGGACCCAGACAATCCATTTGTGGCTGGCTGGCTGGAGACGGGACTTATATACAACAAATAGAGTCGCAATGGAAAGCAGTCAAGAATTTTTTCAGAAAACAAAATTATAACAATTCACATTGCATTATTTCATTTACCACTATCATAGCGGAGTTTAGGGCAACCAGACTGTATAGATAAGATTGGTCGAATCCGTTCTAAAACCGAATTAGCACACCCCGACTCCATGTAGTCTTGTCTGCCATACCCGTAGAGTGTTTTTGTAAAGCTGCGGGCACGGAGGGAGAGCAGCCCCTTCGCTCGCTCACGCTCGCCTCCGCAGCTATAGCTTACAGCCTCACCCGCTATGGCTCACTTAGGTGCCTGCGATTTGCTACGCAAGGGCGAAGGGGCTGCGCTTCCCGCAGTGCCGAAGCCGTTGCAGAAGTAACTTTGCGTCAATATTCCTGTATAAAAATGTGAGGTTTTGATTTTACGAAAAAAATTACCACTCATAAACTATATATTTCCGCAACGGGGGAAGGGGGGCTTCCCATGACCCCTCCCTCCCCTCTCTCTCCTTCCAGCACCATACGGCCGTTGCAGAAGTAACTTTGTGTCAATATTCCTGTAAAAAAAAGAGAGGTTATAATTTAACAAAAAAAAATTATTACTCATAAACTATACATTTCCGCAATGGGAGAAGGGTAAGTTTTCCATGACAACTTTCCCCTCCCCCTCCCAACACCGTTTGCGAGTACCAGACGTCTATAGTTTACCCCAAAGGCCTCCCCAATATATTGCCTCATATGGAGGATATTTGCCATAGTTGCCATCTTTGGCTAGAGGGTTGGCAATCCCGGTTTCTTATCTTTCCTAACTTTTATCACAAGGATACTGCTGCTGGTCTTCTGCTTCTATTTCCCTGTCATCATCACACATCAATGGAATGGATATGGATTAGTGGATATTCTTACACTGCCACTACACTTTGTTAATGAAGTTAAGTTTTTTGTTACACAATGTCATTTAATTGAGAAGTTAGGTTTAATTCAATCATTGCATCGTCGACGGGCTAAGCCACGCTCCCAAAATTACGATTAATTTTTAAGTATCCTTTTAAACATTACATGTATATTGCAGGAAACATACGGGCGAGCGTCCGTACAGTTGTGACGTCTGCCCCCAGCGCTGCGTGTCAAGTTCCAACCTGCGGGCACATCGTCGACGACATCTTGGTGTCAAGAAATATGAGGTATTCTATGTGCTTTGTTTATAATCTGTGTGCACTAGTTCTGTATAATCTGTGTGCACTAGTTCTGTATAATCTGTGTGTACTAGTTCTGTATAATCTGTATGCACTGGTTCTGCATTTGCACTAGTTCTGTATAATCTGTGTGCACTAGTTCTGTATAATCTGTGTGCACTAGTTCTGTATAATCTGTGTGCACTAGTTCTGTATAATCTGTGTGCACTAGTTCTGTATAATCTGTGTGCACTAGTTCTGTAATAATCTGTGTTGGATGTTCTTAATTGTAATATTCATAATCATACAATTTTCCACTCCATTCGTGTGCGAAGGGTATATGTAGAGTGGTAGTATGATTATAGGCTGTGTGGCATTCCATCTTAGTTTGTAGTCTTCATTTTTTGAAGTGGATTTCAGGTGTCCACATGCTGTAGTAGCCATAAACAGGAGGACTAAGTTTATTTGTCACTTTAATTTTATTAAAAAAAAAACCTCAACTTATATTTTAAATTTTGTGTCAAAGGATTGCTGCAGCTTTTTTTTTTTGATGATTCCTGTTGACTGGACTTCACGTGGATTCGAATCTTTTTTTTTAATTTCTCAGCCAACATGCAATTTTTTTTTATATATAATTAGTTTTTCTTCTTATGCATATAAAAAAAAACTTCCTCAATACACGGGGGGGGGGGGGGGGGGGCAAATTCTAAAAGCCTAAATGTTAAATTATAAAATATAAATAAATTCTATAAATTGTGATAATCAATTCGTCTGCCAAACATATCGATTATGCCAATTGTACTTGCATGCGTCTGACTAACGCCGTCGTATTGTTTTTATGTTACCACTTATTACCTACTTGTTACGAATGGCAATAAAACAATAAATTTAGTAGGCATCTTTGACCTTGTCACTTCGCAGGGTCACAGCCTAGGATGGATCTTATGTAAATTTCGATAGATTTTAATTAATTTATTTATTTAATTCCAATGTTTTGTTTTTATTTTTTGTAAAATATCAGTGCCAGAGGCTTCTACTCCGTTCACATGTTACACCCTATTTTATTCTAGACGGTAAAAAAGCTCATTCAGTATATAACTAAGTCTTAGTATTACCAAATCTATTGAAGTAATAATTAGTTTAAAAATAATTTAACACTGATTCTTTTTTCCATTTTACTTCTTGGCAACATTTCACCAAAAAGTAAGTTAATAAATATATATAAATAAATAAATTGAGTAAATAATAAATAATATAATTCATTAAATTAAATTATTGTAATAAAGTTATAAGTATAGTTCTAAATATCCTTTATTATCTATATTCCTATATTATCCTAAATATATAACCGGGCAGTTTTGGCGGGAACTTAGCCGTCGACGGATTCTAGATCCTTTTTTGTCGCTTGAATAATGGTTTGAAGTGGATTTTGATTCGTAAAAGTGATCTGATTTTGTGAATTAAGTGTCTGCGGGTGTGAACTATTAGAAAAAGCGACGAAACAAGTGCTTTGGTGTTAATATAAACCTCAAGTTTTTTTGATCGCTAGGGCGCCTAAAGACCTTGAGTGGTTGTCGTCATCAACTGTCCGTTGGGTTAAGCTGTCGTCAAAATCTGCCAAAAACTTCGCAGTGTGGCGCATCAGTATATTGTGAATAAAAAAATATATAAAAAGAAGATTACAAAAGAAATGATAGGCTCAGAAGGGCTAGAAGCCAGAGCCGTAAAGCCAGTTAAATAAAAAAATAAATATATAACCGATTTGAATATACAACTATGACGTCATCACTCATTATATCGCTCCTGTTCAGTCCTATTCTTAATTGATTCGCATTGTATAAACACGATAAATCATTTATACATAAAGTATTTCAATTTCTATTATTATATTATTTTATATCATATCTATATATATAATCTGTTATATTTTTTAATATCGTTTTTTTCTTCCAGTGTACTATCTGCAGCAAAAAGTTTGGCTATAAAATAAGCTTAGATGAGCATGTGGCTTCCACACATGAACGATCGCAATCTCACCCATGCCAACACTGCGGTGCTGTCTACACTAGGATAAGAGGTTTACGTCGCCATTTATTGGCGAAGCACGGGAAAGGAAAAGATGATGAAGTAATATCGAAAATTGAGTTGTCAAAGAATGGAGATGACACAACCAATTTGCATTTGAAAGTGTTTGCTGAAAATCATCCTAGTGCTGAAGGCGTCAAGGTTGACAGTATCTTAAAAGATGCTGTAAAGGATATGGAGCCGGATTTCGCATTGAAGACACAAGAAGATGGGGTGTACATTGTATGAAGATGTTAATGTGGTTTTGTGTATCCGTCCATCTGGGTAGGTGATACCATGTTTCTACCAGTAAGCAGCAGTGCATACTATGATAATAACCTCCAGACTGAATTTCAGTCACAGCGGCCAGCCATTACGGAGACTAGCCATCGTGACAGGATTATAGTGCCAGAGTGTAAGCGCAAGCACAGGTGCACGCTCTATTCCCTAACTCTCATAATCCGATGGGACGATAATCCGATACGACTGGAGAGAAATTTGGCTTAGGACCTACGGTTTAACGTCCTTTTCGAAGCACGGGGGTAAAACACCGCCAACTTCCCGATTTGGGGCTGGTGTTGAGAATTCCTTGACAGAAAAGAATCTATAACTAATTTTTGGCCCGACCCGGGATTTGACCCCGAGACCCATGATCAGCAGTTGCGTTTATGACCTCTAGAACAATGAGGTAGTCAGGCACACCATACTGCCCTATTAAGTGCAACAGCGGTATTTAGGTGAAAGCAAATTTTGAGATTGAGAGAATTTTCATAAAAGTAGTTTTATTTATTTATATTTAATAATTTTGATACTTATTATATGGTGGGATGATGAGATACGTACGGAAGTTGAAGCAAAGAAGAGAGCATGGCTAGATTTACTAGCAACTAAGGCTGGTAATTCAAGCGGTACGAATGATGATTTTGAAAGAAAAAAGGCAGTCTTTAGACATCTAAATAAAAGAGTAAAAGAAGTAGTTGAAAGGAAAAAGCAAGAAAGAACGGATAAGAATGATAGAAGAATATCGGATAACTTCCAGGCAAATATTAAAATGTTCTGGAAACTCGTAAGAACTGCCAGGGGATGTTCAAAACAGCCTATAATGAATGCTATAAGAGATGAGAATGGCTATATTCTGAATGATGAAGTTTTGAGTTTAAAGAGATGGAAGGAATATTTTGAAAGCATGTTTATGAGTGAGGAGACAACGTATGAACTGAATGAAATAGGAACTCCGAAAGAAGAGGAAGAAGGTAGCGAGATAAGTATAGATGAAATAATGAAAGCAATGAGAAGCATGAAAGCAGGTAAGGCTGCCGGATATGATAGAGTTTCACTCGAAATGCTAAGGGCTGGAGAGGAAGTGGTGGCAGGCCTGCTGCACACCTTGTTTAATTTATGCTGGGAACTGAAGCGGGTACCGGGAGACTGGTGCAAAGCCGTGATAGTCCCAGTATATAAGGGAAAAGGGTCGCAGCAGGACTGTAAAAACTACCGCGGTATCAGCCTTCTTAGCATCGTGGGAAAACTGTATGCCAAGGTACTAATTGAAAGGGTCATGAAAGAAACCGATGGAAAAATTTGGGATGTGCAAGCGGGATTTAGAAAGGGAATGGGATGTACAGATCAAGTCTTCTCCATGCGCATGATCGGGGAGAAGTTTTTGGCCAAAAACCAAAAGGTTTTTTGTGCGTTCATGGACTTGGAGAAGGCCTATGACAGAGTGGATAGGAATGTGCTATGGCAAACACTGAACGCATTTGGGTTGAGCGCTGGCTTGATACAGGCATTGGAATCTCTTTATAGGGACTCTAGTGCTTGTGTTAGGATCAACGGGGTCTACTCGGACTGGTTTGGCATCCATAAAGGTGTCAGACAGGGCTGTGTGGCTTCCCCGTGGTTGTTCAACCTATTTATGGACAGTTGTTTGCAAAATTTGAAAGTTGAAGAATGCGGATTAAGAATGGGTGAGTTAACCATCAAATGCCTTTTGTACGCCGATGATCAAGTTATTCTTGCGTCGTCGGCGGCTGAGTTGCAAATGATGGTTACATTAATGAACAGATCATTAAAAGAAAGGGGTATGAAAGTGAACGCAAGTAAGACAAAAATTATGGTTTTTGAAAGAGATGAAAGTAAAACGATATGTGAAATAAGAATAGAAGGGGAGTTGATCTAAGGATATAGAACGACGAGTGAACGCAGGAAACAGAGTAAATGGAGCCCTGCACTCTATTGTGAAGAGTCAAAATGTGTCAAAAAAGGCACGTATGGCAATTCACAATGCTGTGTTGGTCCCTACTTTAACGTATGGTAGTGAAAGTTGGGTATGGCAGAAGAAGCACGAGAGTAGAATAAATGCAGTAGAAATGCGGTCGTTAAGGAGTATGTTAGGGCTGAATCTGAATGACAGGGTGAAAAATTGTGTGATAAGAGAAGAGTGTGGTTTGCAAGATGATGTTGTGACCAGGATTAAGAAAGGAATGCTTCGGTCATGTGGAAAGAATGGATGAGGAAAGAGTGACAAAGAAAATTTATGTTGCAGAAGTGAATGGCAGAGTCGGAAAGGGACGTCCTAGGCGAAAATTTATCGACCAAATTGGCGATTTATTGAAAACGGGCCAAATTAGGAGTACCCTTAACCTGACGAGCATGCATGCGTAGGTGTATGGATGTGAAGGAGGCGAGAGAGGTGTGTCAGGATCGTGCCAAATGGAAGTCTGTAGTCTCTGCCTACCCCTCTGGGTGACAGGCGTGAGTGTTTATGTTATGTATGTAATAATATTGACTATATTCTTAACTCTATAGTTGAAATATCAAAAGTTTATCAATATAATGGTATATACTATAATAATGTCATATACTGCTGTACCGCTAAGTAATTATATAATTAACTTTTCACTTACCGCTTTTTGATTAGTTCTTTTCTTACATGTCTCTATGTCAAAAATATCGACTTTGTGTCTAATAAAATATATATTAGTTAAAATAATAAAACAACCCTACATCAATTTAAAATGTCATTTATTATTAAAATTTATAATAATATGAAAAAATTTAAACAAATGAAACATGTTCTATGAAATATACCTAGATAGTTACTAGGGTTGTAACGGAGGCCTTCTTGGTGGATGCGGAGGAGAAGAGGTTCGTCTCCGCGGATGCGGCGGTTAACGGAGGTGGAGGTAAAATTTGAAGTGGAAAAAGTATAAACAAATTCATGATTTATTAAAGTCAGAAATATTTATTTCGAATGGGTAAATAGTACATACATGTACATGGTACGCTTTCATAATTAAACTAGTATTCAAAATTTAGAAGAGGCAAATTATGTCTTACGAACAACAGCTTTGCCGCTTTATCGCCTTCCATAAGATTTCTCAAGGGTTCATAAATTAAACCAGCTGCACTAAATAACTGTTCACTTTGCACTGAACTTGGCGGCACCGATAAGTAAGTGCGAACTATGGGAGCAAAAACTTTATATTTCATGTTATATCTTTATTTTTTTATTAAAAAGAATATTAACAATGTTCAAACAAAAATATTTCCCTTAACCACTCGTGGTAAGCTTAAATTGCTTGTGTTACGAGTGGTTCACGCCAGTAGTCGAATGGCGGATTCGAACCCACGACCTTTTTGACTTCGCGGTCCGCGTCCTGCCATTAGGCTACTGTCTCCACTACAATAAGGTATCTTCATCTAGTTGCAGTCGGTTTTCTTTATTATATTCATTAATTAGCGTTTTCCATATCATGAGGTTGCTATTGGTAACATAGCTCTCATTTGCCCGTTTGTCTTCATCGCTGCAATTCTTCAACATGTCAGCCAGGTTGGAATGCACACTTTGTATTGGTGGTAAAATTTCGAAGCTTGTGCTTGGTTCAATACATTACTTGTATTTGATTCTACTCTAGCTTTCTTGGCCACAGAAAGTTCGTCATCGCAATTCTCGTTGCAACATTCGAGTCATATAGGGTTAGCAAACCTATTAAGTTCGGAATGAACTTGCTCCTTAATAATGTCATTAAAAGACTTTAATTTGTAACTTGGGTCCAAATATGTAGCAAGCGAATACAGTGGTATTGCCTGGAAGGTCACAAAATCTGGAATTGATGTCTTCAATTAGTTTTTGAATGATACTCTTGAAATTCTGATCTGTGTCTAATTAATAGATATATGTGTATTTAGCAGGGATGGTAGTTATGATAAGGATATAAAACGATGAGTAAATGCAGGGAATAGAGTGAATGGGGCACTACACTCGTATTATGAAGAACCAGAATGTGTCAAAAAAGGCACGTATGGGTAATTCATAATTCTGTGTTAGGCCGTACTTTAATGTATGGTAGTGAAAGCTGGGTGTGGCAGAAGCACGAAAGTAGAATAAATGCTGTAGAAATGCGGTCTTTAAGGAGTATGCTAGGGTTGAATCTGAATGACAGGGTGAGAAATTGCGTGATAAGAGATAAATGTGGTATGCAGTTTTGGACCAGGATTAAGAAAGGAATGCTTCGGTGGTTTGGTCATGTAGAAATAATGAATGAGGAAAGAGTGACAAAGCAAATTTATATGGCATATGTGAACGGCAGAGTCGGGTAGGGACGCCCTAGAAAAAAGTTTATCGACCAAATTGGCGATATTTTGAAAATGGGCCACGTTAGAAGTACCCTTAACCGACGAGCATGTATGCGTAGATATATCGATGTAAAGGAAGCGAAAGAGGTATGTCAGGATCGTGCCAAATGGACGTCCGTAGTCTCTGCCTACCCCTCTGGGTGACAGGCGTGAGTGTTTATGTTATGTTTTTTTATGTCTAATTTTTCCTTTTCTATTTGCAGTGTATGTTTCACTACATGTATCAATGGAATCACTGACGATGTGCATGTTTTTGTATCGCTTAGATTTCTCGTTATTTCTTCAAAGGGAATGAGTACATACTGCCATTAATTTATTAACCTTTATTCAAACGCAAGCTTCTAAGCGAGATAGGAAATAAGAGTCGCTGTCTAAGGGTAAGGGTAAAGGTAGGGTCTCCAAAATGACATTCTATTTTGAGGTATAATATTTTGCAGACTTCAAAATATTTTCTTTTTTGGATTTAGAAATGCCTTCTAGGTCGGTTTTCCTTTTTGGTGGTGACAAAACGCCAGTTTTCATTATTTTATTTCCGATTATGCTTGCTTTGATAGGGTCTTTATTGAATCCATTTCTGTATGTCAAATCAAAACTGGCTCTATTAACATATA